TTCCCTTACACCACCACCCCCCCCCTTTCCCCACCCCCAAGGGTCCAAGTACCCAATAATCATCTACTCTCCCAAATAGTAAGACCCTGAACCCTAAACCCTAAACCCTAAACCCTAAACCCTAAGACCCTGAACCCTAGACCCGAGGTTACGATCCCCTTGGGTGGATGGGGCCTGGCACTCGGCTGCGCTGTTCGCTGCGCCGCAGCCGGCCGGGATCTTGGCTTCGGCGTGGGTTTAGGGTTTAGGGTTTAGGGCCAGTTTAGGGTTAGACGACATGAACCTAAAAGGCTGTTGATGGTACTTTTATTGGGGGTTCATAGTAGCTATGTCATAGTATAAGGGTATACCTTAACCCACCAGAATCTCAGAACCTACTTTTTTGTAGGGTCCTTATTGATTCCATATCAGGGTTTATAGTAAGAACCGACAAACAGGTAGGTTTTGGTAGGGTAAGGCCCTAAACCCTAATCCGTAAACCCTAAACCCTAAATATCTGTTTAAGGGTCATTTGGTCATTCAGGTCAGGGTTGCTTTTGCGCCTGCTATACCGCCTACTATGAGCGTTTGCGTTTGGGGCTTAGGGTTTAGGGTTTGCTTACATACGGTCTGGGCTTTATAAAGCGATCCGTATGTCGGCGTGTAAAAGTCAGAGTCTATAAGGGCGTTGGGATGTATACGTTGCTTTTCCGTGTTGCGAATGCTGGGCAGGGGTAGCCGTCTGCGGTGCGCGCCATGGTCGACTTGGGTCCAAACACAACGTCAAGCCTCGTATCGTTGGTGTTGGAGTGACAAATGTTGATGACTTCCCAGAGTGGGAGGCTGCAAAGCCGAAGTGGTCGAAGGCATGTCGTGGAGATTTCGGAAGGGTGGATGTTTAAGGTTGAGGTTTGGGGCTGGGGGCAAGGCGGAAGCTTCAGCCGATACCCTAAACGCTGAACTTCGAACATCTTCGAGATGAGACCGGTCCCGCAGGGTTTGAAAGGAATCCGACTGTCAGAAAGGGGCCGCTTCTCCGTAGTCATGCAGTGTGTCCTAGTGTGGGGAAAGGTTTAAAGGGTTTCGGGTTGAGCGATACAGGGTTTCGGGCTCAAGGGTTTAAGGGGGGCTTAGGGTTTACATCCGTGTCACTAGGAGATGCATGTCGTGTTCCTTGCACCCTGCCCCAGGATCAGGGTATCTAGGTCCTTCGACACTTGAAGCAGAACACCCGGAAGGCACTGCATTGGGACTGGGTGTTGCTGCGAGCGCTGTGCATGTGCAGAGCGAGAAGGAGGCCATTTACGGACTGCAAGCTAACCCTAAACCCCAAACCATAACAGTGTAGAGGAGGTTGGCAAAACACAGAGGTGGGCAGCTAAAGCTACAAGCCCGATTCACATTGGCTCGGTTCTCGCTATTCTAGCAAGGACTGGAGGACTGGAGGTGGCGGGTCAAGACTCACCATGTAAGATCCATCTCCTCAGTCTCGGACTTGGGCAGTAACACATAGTCTCCAGATCCAAGAGGCACTCCGAGTAGACCGTCGCAAGGTTCTCTTCAAGGTCGTGGATCCAAACAGAGCCTCCAACCAGGTGAGGTCCTTCCGCGACACCCTGCACCCTTGCTAACGAAGCCGAAGGTGTCTCCGACTTAATATAGAAGCCTAATTCATTACCTATACTATCTTGGGGGCTCCTTGTTATAATAGTATACGGAATCCCAAAACCCTATTCTGTTTATGCAGGCCCCTACATGACACGCTTCGCACTCATACAAACTCCAATCGCGAGACCCCGAATCTCCATCATGTAAGGGTTTAGGGTTTAGGGTTTAGGGTTTAGGGTTTAGGGTTTAGGGTTTAGACCTCTGATCTATAGCCCCCTGCCGCCTCCCTTAACAAGGGTTGAACTTATGAATATGAGGACCTCATCAGTTGCGTCTTCA